GCCCGGAGCGCGGCGACGCGGCGCTGGAGCCCGGGGACGATGCGCGCTCGGCGGCGCTGGAGCTGAGCACGGCGCTGCGCTTCTACGGCACCGCCGTCCGCTCCCTCTACGTGAGTGTGGGGCCGGGAGGGCGCGGGGCCCCGCTCCGGCTGCCGGAGGGTCGGAAAGGGTGGTGGGGACTCGCCGGGACGGGGGGTTTTTCCCCTGGGTTTGGGTTGGTGCCAGGTGGGGCTTGTTGGGCTTCGCGGGTGCTCTGTCGTGTGAGCGCCGTAGTCAGAGGTCGGTCCGAAGAGCTTAGTATTTCCACTTCTGTTCAGTGAGGCATCAGGCCCTGTTAATTCCCCTCGCACACTGTGGCTGTTACTGCTTGTTTGCGATGCACACGGTCAGTGGAGGCAGTGGAACAGACAGTAGGAGGGTTAAGAGAATGTAATGGGTTATCCACGGTGAACACCATCCCCGGGCGTTTTCCGTGCTCCCGCATAGGGTGCATGTCCAGCTAGGGAAAGTCCTCGTGGTCTGTGTTTTGTGTGCTTCGGCATGCCAGGTCGCAAAACTGAAGCACTTCTGACCTGTTCGAGACTTGCACCTCTTAGCACTGAGACTGCTGTTCTGCTCCTTCATGCCTTGGGCAGCCTGAGATGTTAATTGCTCAGGGGTCTCTTGGGCAGGGGGAATGCACATCCTGAACAACTGCAGGCTTTGGGCTGCAGGCAGCCCTCATTCATGTTTGTGTGCCTCGTAGCAGAATCTGCAGGCTGGAATAGTGTGTGCGTGTGTTTATAGCTAGTGGAGGACATTTAGTATATGAAGATGGGATTGAAAACAGCTTGTCTGGAGCAGAGCTGCTCAGAAGTAGTCAGACAGAAAAACCAAACAGTCAGCATGCAGCATGTATTCAGAACTCTGCAAGAGTGCTGGCAGATTTTTCGTTGCCTCTTTTCCGCTGAAGCCTTATCTAGGCTGGCAGTTGAAGATGCTGACTAGCACATTAAGAAAGGTCTTAATACGGAAGGCTCAGTGTGTTCAGAGTGTTAACATAATCAGAACAAAACCCTTCTCCCTGTCCAGATAAACCAATATGCTTTAGCACCATGGGTCTAAGATGAAACTTTGGGGACTAATCTTCATGGAAACACTTGGGAAACTAGACCTTCATGTGGCCACAGTCATTCAATGTAGTTCTCATGTGCTAGACTCCCTTTTATGGGTATTCACTGCAGATTTAACATGCTTGCATTACACTGAGTTATATTAGTGCTGCCACTTGAGTTGTGCTCTGTTTCATTGTCCACACTGCCCCTTCCTAGATAAATCCTGAAATCACATCTGAAATCCAAAATGTTGAGGGATTCAAGTTATACCTGTGTGGGAAATGAGTATTGTTAACTGAAGCTGACAGTAAGGATGGAGTACTTGACAAGTAGCAAGTGGAGTTCAGACTTCAATTTGATCCTTAGTTAGTTGTCTTGTCTTCCATACTCTGTTTGGTCACTGATTAGCCAACCCAAGTTAAAAAAAAAATACTTTTTGAAGCACAGACATATTCTTGAAAGATAGTGGTCTGTGTATCCAGTCACTGAGAGGCAAAGATAACAAATAGCTCATCAGATAAGTGACAGAAAGGGGACAGAGTTTTCAAAGAGCAGTAGATTGTTAAAGAACACTAGGTTTCTTTAGTTTAATTATCTTGTTACTTGCCCATGCCATAAAACAGGAACAGTTCAGGTTAGTTTTTATCTGGAAGAGTACCCATATAGAGGCTATTCC